TGCCCAGAGGAAGCATCATGCTTGGAGGTTTTGAGGATCAAGGAGGTCAGAGAGGCTGAAACAAAGTGGGTGAGGAGAAGAATATCAGGAGATGAGGCCAGATCATACAGGGCCTTGTAAAGCTTTTAATACAGAATGAGAACTGGAGGTATTGGAAGGGGAGAGACATTACGTTTTTGTTTTTTTTGTTTTTAACTAGGTATCCCAGTAAGCAATAGCAACAAAACCCAATGACAATCTGCCTTCAGAGAGCTTGTCTTAACCTTTTTTTTCCTTTTTGAGTCAATCTGCACAGCCTTCTTTACATACAATTTCTTAACCTTGACAATATACAAATAGGGTGCTTTGGCCTAGAATACCCTCTTTCTCTCTGTCTCTGCTTGAGTCTGCTGAAGCCTTCCATCCTTAAGATGTCTTCCCTGACGCTTCATTCTTCCTTATATATAAAAAAATATTTTTTTTAAAGATTCCTATGTCTGCTGTGTGCATCAATAGTGAACCGGGAGAAAAGTTGGAAGCTATTTTAATATTTCACATGAGAGCTCACAATGGCTTGGTGCTAGAGTAGAGGTGCAGATAGAGAGAAGTGGGCTGATTCTGTATACATTTGGGAGACAGAGCTGACAGGGACAAGAGAACAAGATAATCAGAAGTGGGGCCTAGAGGACCTAACTGCAATGGAAGAATGGGAGACTCCAAATCAAGCACAAGGAACTACTCCCAAGCCTAGCTTTTTACCAGACTGATGTGTGGCCATCCAAGTGTGTTAAAATTCAAGGGAGAAAGCTTACAGGGCAGCATTTTCAGGTGATGTTGTTTTTGGTAAGTGCCGTTGAGTTGGTGACCCTGTATAGGGTTTCTGAGGAGCTGCAGGTGAGCTTGAACCGCCAACCTTGTGGTTTAAACCAATTTGCAGTTCAGCGCATTAATCCACAGCTCCACACCCAGACTCCTTGCAGGTGATATTGGTTCTTAGAGTTAATTCACTCATTTACTAATTCATTTATTAACTCACTCAACAAACATTTTTTTGAGACTTCTTCTGTATCAGGAGAGCCTTGTGGTACTGGCATAGGATAGAATTTGATTTAGTACCTCTCTTCAATAGCACAGTCCAAAGTGGAAGACGCCTGTTAATGGAGATTTCCGTTCAGAGTGATAAGTCTATGTTAGAGGTACCCAGGGCAGTACAGATGAGCAGCTGATTATATAAGGAAGAATGAAGCGTCAGGGAAGACATCTTAAAGGATGGAAGGCTTCAGCAGACTCAAGCAGAGACAGGGAGAAAGAGGGTATTCTAGGCCAAAGCACCCTATTTGTATATTGTCAAGGTTAAGAAATTGTATGTAAAGAAGGCTGTGCAGATTGACTCAAAAAGGAAAAAAAAGGTTAAGACAAGCTCTCTGAAGGCAGATTGTCATTTGGGTTTGATGCTATTGCTTACTGGGAAACCCAGCATTAGAAGAGTCCCTGGCACATTATAGACATTTTCGCATTTATGAAATAAATGAAAGAACTTGAGCTTTATCCTTATGGCATTGGGTATCCATGGAAGGTTCTTGAGCATTAGAGAGTGTTTGAAAACTTTCGTAGGTTGGGATGGAGAACAGACTGACTAGGGACAAGATGAGAGAGGATAAGGCTTGGGGGTGAAGTAGAATGTTTGTAAGCTCTAAGCCCCTTATTCCAAGGCTGAAGAAGGCCTGATTGGCCTCCCATAGCGTTGTGGCTCTTTCTCCCAGGTTCTTTGCAGAGTTGATGACCCTGATGGACCGCCCCATCTCTTTCATTTATCGCTTCCTGTTGGGCTTTCTGTGTCCTTTCATGCTGATATTCCTGTTTGGGGGCACCGTGGCTCACATAAGTATACAGAGCTTCGTCTACCTGGCCTGGGACTCAAACACTGTGAGCCTCCCTTCCCAGGCCCAAGAATACCCTAGTGAGTGGGAACCAGACCTTTCAATCCACTCTTGGCATGAAGACCAAGCCATCTGTTCTCTGACTCCCTGAAGACTCATTAATCCTCTACCCTGGCTTCCCTACCCCTCTTCTCCTGGTAACTTTGGTATTCTGAACCTCTTTCTTTTCTCTCCACAGTCAAAAGAAGTGACTCAAAAATACCCACCATGGGCGTTCAACTTGATAGTCATCTTAGTTGTCACTGTCTTCCTGCCCAACTTTATATGCTTTATGTACTACCTCATCACTAGGATCCTCATCAGCTCCATCCAGCGGGTTGGGGGTCTTATAGTGTCCAAATCCCTGGCTTCAAGGGGCCAGGTAAGGTCTACTAGAAATGTCCTGAAGGAGGAAAGTGCAAGATAATAAATGACATTGCTGGTTATTCTGCCGTGTGATTTCTTAACAAGAGGCTGTGACTTTTATTCATGTGACCTGACATCATTCATTGGTCAAAGCTTATCTAACAGGAAATGCTTTCCATCAATTTGTTATTGTTGATTTTCCTGGACCCAGAATCCCTTTTATTCCCAGGGGTGGGGCCATTTTGGGGGATGGGTGGGTCATAGAACCTGGTTCTGTAGCCTTCTCCTAGACCCTCCCTGGTTACCACTGTGATTGTGTTTTCCCATCCAGCATATTCACAAACAGAACTCATATACATTGTTGGTGATGATTACTGAACATGCTTCTTCCTGTCTGTCCATCTCCTGGAATGGGACTGCAGGAGGCATGCTGTTGGTCAGTAGATCGGTCTAATGGGACCCCAAGGGTTGAGTGTGTGCAGAATTTTTTGAATGGGTGTTCAGTCTTTTTTCTCATGAGGCTCCTATTCTTTCTATAAAGAGGGTAAATTTATAGTTCCAAGACTGTTTTGTGGAATAAGTGCATCTGTGAATCTATGTACAATTTGTTTTGGGAATTATGAAGTTGTATTGGTAAGCCAATCAAAGGACTTTATCTTTTTGTTATGAGCTTTCACTGGTTTTACCACAGGCTAAACTTGCCTGATGTAGTGCTGTGGGTTAGTACTCTGGACTGCAAGGTTTGTTTGAGCCGCAAAGGCAGCGGTCAAGCCCACCAGCCACTCCTTGGACACCCTATACAGGGTTGCTAGGAGATGGAGACAGCTGGATGGCACTTAACAACAATAGGTGATAACTGAGTGGGTCTCTTGAATTTCTGGCGCTGTTAGGTGGTAGTTGTTGGTTCCATAATGGAGTTGAAGTACTTCCCAGTAGGGCATGGAGTCAACCCACTCGGCTTGGGGATTGTTGATAGAGATTTAGGGTTTCCTGAAGATCCAGAGGAGGGGTTTTTGCTAAAAGCTCACAGATGCCAGGATGTCAGATTGCTTGGGGACTGCATGAATGATTTATAAAAATCAACACAAGGCTGGTCCCTATGAGTTGGAAGTTAAATATATCCCTTTGACATGTTATGTCCCTCCTTAGTCCTTGGTATCTATCACCATTCCTCCCTTTCCTCAAGTCCCAGGGTTCCGCAACACACGGCAACATGCCACAAAACTCACAGTTGTTAAAAGAAATGGTTCATGGCATTGTGGAGACTGGCAAGTCCCAAATCCATAGTTTAGAGATAGATCTGGAGGAATCTTTCCACCCACGGAGTTTCAGGAGCTCAGGAGTTGAGAACCTAAATCGGCAGGCAGATCAGTTGACATGCTGTTGATGCGCTAAGCTGTGGGAGCTGTTGAAATCAAGTCAGGTGATGGCCGAAAGGCTCACAAACTGGAGGTCAGATGTCATGAGTCAGATGCAAGATCCAGGGCAAGAGGGCAACCTTTTCCAAAGCAGTCTTAGAAATTGGAGTCAGACCACGTCCCCAAGGGAAACTAAGGGTGGTGGTTTGAATCACACTCTCTACTAAGGTGGGGGCATTCTTAATATTTGTTGTTGTTGTTAAGTGCCCTCAAGTTGGTTCTGACTCATAGCAACTCTGTATAGGATTTCCAAGGAGCAGCTGGTGAGCTTGAACTGCTGACCTTGCAGATCAAACCGACTTTGCAGTTGAGCACATTAAATCACAGTACCACACCTATAATTTTTACTCCTTAGCTCCACCTTAATCTTTTTTCCTTAACAAATTTCAAAATGGGGCCATAATCACAGACCAGGCATAGAGGCTAGAATTGACAATGTATCACAAAATGGGGAAATTTGGCTAGAAGGGCCATCATAAAGAAGTAGCTGCCCCGCTGGTTCCACAGAGAGTGGGTAAGTTTTTGTGAGAAAAGAAAGAAGACATCCCCAACCATCTGTATTAAGGGAATGAAGGTTGGTTTATCAATATCTTTATACCTCTGAAATCTCAAGAGCAAAGAGGTTGGAATAGGTATGAACTTCCATGTCCACGTGCCCACTGGCCCCTGTACCCTGCTGCTTGTTTTGGATATGTTATAAGTAAGGACCAATCCCTGGAGAAAGACATCATGCTTGGTAAAGAGGAGGATGAATGAAAAAGAAAACTCTCAATGAGGTGGACACAAATGCTTCAACAATGGGCTCATACATACTTACCATTGTGAGATGTGGGCAGGATCGGCAACTTCTGTTCTTTATACATAAGGTTACTATGAGTCAAAGCTGACTCCATGACACCTAGCAGCAATACTAAATCTGCTTGAAAACTTGTCCTATTGATTTGGGTAATTTGGGGGTTAGAGAGAAGAGGTGGTCATCTTTTCCTCATGATCAAATAGTGTGGGTGTTCAAATTCCTGTCTTTTGGGAACCCACCCATTCATTCTCCTAGCTCCAGGTTTGGGGATGACTTTCTGTGTGAATGAAGGGTTGGAATGAAGAACTTGATGTAAGTGTCTTTTCCTACTTAAAAATTTCCTTTTCTCAGGTTACTTGCTGAATTTTCTTTGGCACTTAAGCACCAGCTTGTTTGAATTGGGGCCTAGTAGTTATCAGATATCCTGCATAGCTATAAAATGGAGTTTCTAGAAACTGTGGGTATAATCAGAGGAGTTTTTTGGTACTACTGTTGGGAATCTTTGTCCTTGTTAGACAAAAATGGGGCCATATCCCTTGGGTGGGCAACCTTGTACAAGTCTTCACTTTTACTCCTCAGAACAATGGTGCGAGATACAACTATTGTCACCTATAGTGTTCACTAGTATAACCTGGAGGAAGTGGGGTTGCTATAGATCATATAAATGTTTCAATCTGTAGGCCTACCTCCCCATTTTTTTCCCCTGCAATGTGCTTGTATTTGTTTATAAAACTGGCTATGGAGAACAAATAAGATGGTGGATTGGGTGGACGTGTAACAAAGAGCTCCGCCAACAACAACACCGAATACCTGACCAAGCAGGCTCAGGGGATGGTCCCA